GACTCAGCGGTGCATGCCTCTCTGTAGCGTACCTTGTGTTGGCGCTTGGAGTGTATGGCATCGGATCCCCCAAAGATGATGAGGCATTCCTCGGGGTCAGGGAAGCCGTCATCATCCTTGTCCATCGCGCCACCTTTCTTGGCCGCCTCCTGCCTTTCCCTTCCTTCGGCTTGTCGGCGTACCGCAGAAAGCGCTTGAGGAGCTCGCAGTCCTTGTAGAGGTGCTTGACGGGGTAGGCATGGTTGGTGCATGGACTCTCCATGAGCTTGTCGAAGTGGTCGAGCTGGCCATACTTGCCCGCACGATCGGTCACGGTGACCAAGGCTGGGTTGGCCGGTCATCGCTGATCAATCTTGTTCTTCTTGCCCCTTTGTGTGGAGGGGCCTTTGCCTTGGTCCTCACACTTGGCCTTGCCCCTGTCCCGGCTGCCGCTAAAGACCGCTCCGACCACATCCTCACCGGAGGTATGGTTCATGGTGATGTCGAGCAGGTCATGGGTGGTACAGGGCTTCACACAGCCGAGCTTGTGGATCAAGGACTCATAGGTTGTCCCAGAGAGGAACGTGCTGATGACGTCTACATCAATGACATCAGAAAGGGAGTTGCACCGCTTTGAGAACCTATGGATGTAATCCCGTAGGGAGTCACTAGGCTCCTGCTGGTAGCTCTTGAGGTCCCAGGAATTCCCAGGACGGACATATGTCCCTTGAAAATTCCCGATGAAGACCCTCTTGAGATCTGCCCAGTCGCGTATGTTGTCGGGTGGAAGGAATTCAAGCGATGCTCGAGCATGCTCCCCCACGCAGATGGGGAGATACTGGATGATGAAATGGTCATCATCCACTCCTCTGACTCAGCAAGTGAGCCAGAAGTCTTCGAACCATATACCAAGGTTCGTTTCCTCGATGTATCTGGTGATGTTGGTGGGTGGTCGGAAGCGCTGTGGGAACGACGCTTTCTGGATGCGACGACCAAAGGCCCGTGGTCCTGGGCTATTCGGTGGGACTCCGACCGTTTGGTCGGTCACCATACTTGGGGTGCGTGTCCCCACACTCCTCGATGGTCAGGCCGGGGCCTATATCGCCTGCTCTCGCCGCCACTCGATAGGCGTCATCATCGTGTCGAGCATGGCATCGATTGTTGATGACGCTATGAGCGTCACGGTTTGGCCCGAGGCATTCACGTACAGGTGGTTAGTGTGGAGCGGGCGTTGGGTCGGGCTATGGTTCAGCCGCGGCCTCCTGCCCCACCCCTGGCAACAGCAGTGGTGAGTGGACGGAGCGATTCGACTAGTGCAGCCCTAGTCCTCCGGTAGGGCAAGAGGCCACGAGCCAGTGTCGTGACGTGAAGCTCTCCACCTGTTGAACGACAGCGGTCTCCACCAGCGCCCGAAGGTTCCGGTGGATTGCTTGTTCCTAGGGGTCGGTCGGCTCAGGGAGGCCATGTAGAAGCATCGCAGCAGCAGCGATATTCTAGCTAGCTCGAGTGAACCGAGGGGGGATCATTCCCTCCGTCTAGGATGTTGCGCTGGACCTGACAGGTGTGACCCCGGGCGTCGCTCGCCGGGTTACGCGTGCGTGGTGCAGCGTGCTACACCGAATGCGCCGATGCAGGTGGCGGCTGGCTCTGACGCCTTTGTCGTAACTCCTCGCCGTGCTTCTGCGCATGCGCGAGGGCCTCCACACAAGGGTCCAGAGAGGTGTGAGTCTGTAGAGACTGCTACCACCAGTAGCTATCCTAGAGTGTCCGCCATAGCGCACTCCCAGGACAGAGGGTGGCCAGGTGCCACGACGTTGCCGATGCTAGAGCCGTTGCTTTTGACCACGTTATCCACGAGGTCGTGAAAGGAGGCGGGTGCGTAGCCCGCCATCCCCACAAATTCGGATGTGAGAGGGGACGGCGTCAGCATCCTTCGGAGCCCCCACACGTACGTGTCCACGAGGATGTGAAGCCGTAGGGGAACCGGTAGCTCCAGCATGGTGGGGACAACGGGGTCCCTCCAGAGAGTCGGTGGAAGGTATTAAATAGCGAGTAAAGAACAACATGTACGTCACTCACCGTGCGAGTTTGAGCCTAGTATGGGCTCAAAGCAAAGCGTGAGTGTCTCGACGTTGGGGTCATCGAGTGACCCGGGGCCGGTGGAGAGCATTCCTCCTCTAGTGGATGCCGGGATGAGCGCCTCTTCTCGGAGGCACGGTACGTCGAGCCAGTCAGCGATGAAGTCAAGAGTCCCGAAGAGGAAAGTCTAGAGCGGCTAGAAGATAGGAGGAACTCACATCCCAACGGGTGGGAGCACAGGAAACTCCAGTGAGCCGAAGTGAATCGTATCACTCGAGCCCGCCATGCCGAAGATGGTGGAAAGATGGGCCATCCGATGACCAAAGCGTGAACGCACGGCGTCCTCCCCACGAACGGCGCCAACTATCGGTGAGAAACGTGACCAACAAGTAAATATTTATAGTTTTGCCGTGACGTTGTGATCGGATGTGGCCTAGCACTCAATGACATAGGATTTATACTGGTTCAGGCAACGTGCCCTATGTCCAGTTTCAGTCGGTCGGTGACTTTATTCCTGAGCCTAGGTGCTTGAAGTTTGCTATGAGGTTACAAACAAGTAGGAATAAGAAGGGGTGTTAAAGGCCCGGTCGGTCTCTGAACCGAAGGGTCGAGAGTGACGGGGGCTCTAACGTGTGCTAAATATTGGAGCGTATGCTCTGTGTAGCTTTAGAGTTCTAGAGCTATTGAGCTATTTGGGTTCTCCTTTTTAGGAGAGCCAGAGTCAGAATCTAGAATAGCCAGAGAGAACGTCCTCCAGAGAGGAGAGTGTGCATCCCCTTTTATAGTTGAAGGGGATGGCCTTACAAGTTAGAGAAAGAGAGAATGGATACGTGTGCTACATAGTCTTGTTGCCCACGCTGTTCGGTATGAGACGGTCGTTGGCGCCCACAATACTGTTTATCTCAGACGCATGTGGTAGGCTCTACCGTGTTCGCCTGGTACGACAAAGGTCGGCGCCTACAATACTGTTTGTACTCTGACACGCCTGGAAGGTTGCATAGTGCCCGTCTAGCATGGCCTAGTGGCACCATCCTGAAGGTGTACAGGGCATGTCAGGGTACGGTCCTTGGTATTATGGTTGACTTGAGCGCCTTACCTTATCTGCTTTGCCTGATCCGGCGTCCCTGGTCGGTCATTCTCAGTTGGCCCCGACCGTGTCGGTCGGGGAAGAATCATGAGCAGAGACCCGGCGTACCCCCAGTCGGAAAAGGAGGTCGGAGTCGGACTGTGTCCCCACCTTGGCCAGGCCTTCCGGTCGGGGACCGGATCGTTGCCCTGGCCTGTCATTATGTATCTGGGTCGGCCCGGAAGGAACAGAGACATCGCTGATGTGAGATCACTTTTGGCTTAATAGTTCATGTTTGAGCTGGAATTTTAGGATCTTACTGAATTATGATTACTATGCAAAGCTGGTATGCAAAAAAAATTGATTGACCATCGAAGATTTTAGTATAAAGTTCATACAATCTTTCTTGTGTTAAATTTATCAGGCAACTGTTCTTATGTGTTAAAATTGGTCTTTGTGCTGGCTAATTGTTGGTTTTGTTTTTTTAGTGAAATAATTGTTGGTTTTGTTACTAATTATTTTATATTTCAATCATTCTAATTTAAATTTATCAATTCCCTTTCATATTTTCTGGTGTAGCGATAAGTCACAAAAGTATATTAAAAATGTAAAAAAATTGTTAGGTTTTTATAAACTAGATCTACACGATATAAGTGATAAAGATTATGAAATGAGCTTTGTATTTTCTAGATAATTAGATTTATAAATTTATTAATATGTTCTTCTAAACCCTAAGCCACGTGGGTCGTTATAGGCGTAGACCAAATGCATAACCCAGTGCGTTCATTTTTTTTTGAGCAGACGCACGTATGGAATAACGGTCGCGGCAATTGGGCCGGCCTAGAACTACTCGGCGCTCTGCTCCTCTTTCTTCCCCCAAATCGTCCCCCGTCTCGCCGTCGAGGGTTTAGGCAGGAGGCTTTTATCTGTATGTCATTATAAAAATTAGTAATTATCTACAAGTCATTAAAAAAGTTGAGTTCTCACAGGTGTCACTGCTATGAACTCTTTTGCCCTCCACGCCACTTCCGTTAGATTTGGCTCTAACAGTGTCAAACCGCGGTTGTGAAAAATCCAAAATACCCAGGTCTGAATATGTAATTAATTTTTTTGGGCATCTTAATGACCTCAAATGAAAAAACTCAAAACTAGAAAGTTGTAAATCTTGACAATATCTACAATTTTTATATAAAAATTATCTTCATTTAATTCTGTACAAAAAATATGATTTGATATTATTAATGTCTTAGAAAAATCATATTTTCTATACGGAATCAAATGAAGATAGTTTTTATAAAAATATTGTAGATCTCGACGAGATCTACAACTTTCTAGTTTTGAGTTTTTTCATTTGAGATCATTAAGATGCTAGAAAAATTAATTGCATATTTAGACCTTGAGAGTATTTTCGACTTTTCATACCCGCAGTTTGACACCTTTAGAATCAAATCTGATAGAAATGACGTGGAAGGTCAAATAGTTTCGAGCAGTGGTATCTGTCAGAACTCAAGTTTTTTTAATGATTTATAAGTAATTACTTACTTTTATAATGGCAAACGAGTTAAAGCCTCTTGAGGCAGACTCCTCATCCCCGCTCGCGCCGGCGCCGCCCTTCTCACGGCCGCGTCTTACCACCACACGGCAGGCTCAGGCTGCAGCGCTCGGTAAGCCCCATTCGCCGACCACCCATCTTTCGCTCGTTTCCCGTACCCCGGACTGGTTTCGGCCCTCGTGAACCCTTCTTCATTTTAATCTTCCGATGATAATTGAGAACATGCTTCTGACTCAGCAATATGCTTCGCTATTTTTCGAAAACTTGCGCCGTCTTCGATCTAGCAGTGCGACTCATCAAGTAATCGATCTAGCAGGGCACGCCATGGAGCTTGAGGATCCCTTCAGGAAGCGCGCCCGCGCAAGTGGTGTCGCCGGCGGATCCTTGGCCGGCGACCCGGACCGGCTGAGCTCTCTCCCGTACTGCCTCCTCCATACCATCATGTCATTGTTAAAAGCCCGGCAGGCGGTCCAGACATGCGTGCTGTCCACACGGTGGAGGCACCTCTGGCGCTCGGTGCCGTGCCTCGACATCGACTTTGATGAGTTCAACAACAAGGCGCCCCCTTCTGACGGCAACCTCGTCTGTCTCTCCAGTGGCGACGACAGTTCTATCTCCGACAATGATACCTCTGATTCTGACAGTGACAGTTGGCAACCGCATCCTAAGTACTTCACCAAGTACAAGGACTGGGAGGATTTTGAGGATTTTGCCGTGACCCTGATGAGCCGCTGTAACATTGCACAATTGGATTTATTCCAGCTGCATATTGACAGAATCAGAGCACCTGTGTTTAGCAATAGACTGGCAGCAGGATGGCTCCGTCGCGCCATGAAATACTGCACCCCGGATCGTGCCAGTAAGCTGGGACTGAGCTCTGGTTCTTGGCGCCTCAAAAGGCTGCATCTCTGCCATGTACTTCTTGATGACCATTTTGTGAAGCGTGTTAGTTCAGTGTGCCGCTCTTTGGAGGATTTGGAGCTGGACCATTGCAGTTGTGAAATTCAGTCAATCACCTCCGACTCGCTGAAGACCCTGGTTCTGAAAAATTGTGGATGGCGCAGTCTTTCTGAGATTATATCGCTCACACTGAAGACATTGGTTATTGATGGTGGCTCAAATACTGATGCATGTGTGCTTGTTATCTTGGCCCCTGCTCTTGCATATCTGCATCTGGCTGTGAATGTTTATAAATTTCGTGGTGGTGTTTCATTAAACGAGGTGCCATCCATTGCCAAGGCTTTTATTCATCTACGGCATCACAAATATAATTATAACAGAAGTAAACTTGAGGGCGATCAATTCAAACTTCTTTGTAGCATATCTAACTCGACAATTTTTAAATTGTCAGGTGTCGGGACAAGGGTATGCCTTTGTTGTCTCTTGCAATGTTCCATTTTATTCACTCCAATAATGTTATGGTACTATCTTATGTACTACAGGTGCTTGGTAAGGAACCCAGATTCCAAGAATTCAAGAACCTGAGGAGCTTATTGCTGGACAGATGTGATCTCAGGGATGACTTCAAGACATTGGTATTCTTTCTTCGGGGTTCTCCTATTCTTGAGAAGCTCACTTTGCAGCGCTGCGAGGTATACTGTTATTTGGTTTTTAACTTAATTAACGATCTTTTCTGCTGGCTACAGTTCCCAGAATGTTCTAGCAAAAAGAAACGAATGCCCATACGCAACAGTTTCTCATCTTCTGAGCTTCGTGGACTGGATTTGCTGTGTGAGAACCTCAAGGTTGAAATCATATATAATGATGGCCATGGACCCCACCATATCAGGCTTCTGCAGCGCGTTTCAGTGAATCTGTCGAAGAACAACATTAAACTCACCAAAGTTAATTAGTGTTTTTGTTATCCCAGGCCTTCTATGTGGCTTCTCACCTAATGGTTCATGTGGAATTTATGTGCACATTATAGGCTTAATTCTTATGCACTAAATCTCAAGCCTATACTTTTGACTAATTTCTAAGTGAAGCAGGCCTTTGCTCTATTGACTATATATGCTATTAATTTGTACTCTCTTTCCTTTCTTAAGGATAGCTTGGGATATACCTAGAGATCTATGTTTGAATAGGAGTGTTTGGAAAGCAGCTGTTGATGTGCCTGAACCGTGACTAGGGGTTCTTAGTGGGTTTCAACTCTAGGCTACCCCAACTTGTTTGGGACTGACAGGTTTTGTTGTTGTTATTGCTGTTGTTTCCTTTCATAAGGATAACCTTGTTCGCTTGAACTTATCAGCCTGGCTTATCAATCATGGAACATTATTTTTCTCTCACAACAAATTAGCTTCAGCCAGCCGTAGAAAACAGTCAGCCGAACAGGTAGATGATTGCCTCTGTAAAATATCTGCTTTAAGCCCTATGTGCTGTGTGTCAGTGTCTGCTGCCCACCGTCCACTTGCATGGACAAAGCTAGATTAAGTTCTTACATATTGGGAAACTGTCTCCTATTATAAAATATCGCAAGCTTGAAAATGGGTTTGGAAATAGTTTGTTTTCTTCTGTTTTTCTCCTTCCTGGACCTTCTGGGACTAGGCAGAGGTACATACTTTCGAAAACTATACACCATCTTGAATTCATCAGCGTTTTTGCCATCACTGTGCAGTTATCTTGTGTATGGGTCCCCTACATGTATGTGCAGAATATCTTGAGCCCCTCTGCTTTAACATTCCTTCACATGTGGAATTTACGTGCATATTATGGGTTCCCTTTAGATGCACTAAATTGCAAGCCTATACTTTTGACCAATTTCTAAGTGATGCAGGTCTTTGATCTATTGACTGTATATGCTATTGACTTTTACCCTTTTTTTCCTTGCTTCTGGTGCTTTTAGCACTATGTACTCTTGTTTTCCTTGACTATAAATGTTCGCTTCTGTGTTTTCCTACTGAAACTGTCTCCAATTATAAAACATGGCAATCTTGAAAAATGGCACCGGAAATCGCATGTTTTCTTCTGTTCTTTTCTCCCTGGGGCTCTTTGGGACTAGGCAGAGAGCTACATACTTTTCAAAACTATATACTAACTCAAATTGAGAATCAGCGTTTCTCATCACTGTGCAGATATCTTCTGTATGGGCAAAATGCCAAAATATCTTGAACCCCTCCCGCTTTGACATGCATACCCTCAGCCTCAGAAGAGCTGGAAACTTTGTGCTGACTAAAGACGAACCGAAACCGTCTAGCTGGCTCACCCTCTTGCTTCTGCAATGCACAATGTCAGTTGGTTTTCTCGTGCAAACAAACCTTAACTTGTGTAACGATAAGGATTTCAGTGGGTGAAACAAAATTTCAGTCCCCAGGAACGCAAATGCGGGTGATGTAAACGATAACGATTTCAGTCGGTGAAACAAAATTTCAATCCCCAGGAACGCAAATGCAGGTAATGTAAGGATTTCAGTCGGTGAAACAAAATTTGACTATAGATTTGAAAAAAGCAACCAAAGAAACCTGTCGATTAATAAGCACGCAGTGCACCAAGCACCGGTGACACTGACCCACTGATAGTTTCAGGCGAATTAGGCCCTCTTTTACATCATTTTTTACTTACCTCCCTTAATTATAGGTTGAGTCCAGATTTCTTATATATTAGGAATTTTGTATAGCTGACATATTGTTGTGCCACTAAGTGTACAAACACTTGTACAACTCTTCCCTACCCCTCACAATGGTCAATGGATGGGTGGTGTTTCCCAAACCATTATCCCTGCTTGTTTTAAATGGTATCCCGTGTCCGAGCCTAGGCCCCTCGCCCCTACCCACCAAATTCAACCTGTGTCGACCCATCAAACCCTACCGCGTCGCCCTCCCACAGGCCACACCTATCGTCGTCGCCTCCTCTACAACGTTGATATCTCCTCTTTCCGTTGCACCTCCCCTACCCCTTATCCTAGCCATGTCGCAATCCTCACCGACTCCTCTCTTGGCCATGCCAATCCCTTCCCCAACCTCTAGTCGACGGCGCGGCTTCCTGCTACGTTGCCACCACCCCCAACCCTTCCTCGACGTCGCCCCTTCTATATCGATAGACTTCTTGGCAACAAGCACTACTACAGAATTGGCCTTCACGAACCAGTGGTGATAGGGGCTACCGGCACATCACTGCCGGTTTTTGGCTTGAACCGGCAGTGATATGACCAAAAGACAGTGATATTTGGGTCATCACTGCCAGTTTCTATCACTGTCGGTTTTTGGCTTGAACCGGCAATGATATTGGGTCATCACTGCCAATTTTTGGCTTCAACCGACATACTATTACTGTCGGTTCGGGAAATGACCCGGCAATGATATACTACACGAAAACCTTCATAACTTTGTCATATGATGTCCGATGAAGATGAATTGTATACCAAAGTTGTAGTACTCGACGAGATCTACAACTCTGTGGTTTAATTTTTTGATTTGAGATCGTTTTGATGCCAAAATGTTTATTACAAGATTTTATAGAGTTAATACCAAAGAAATTTATATGCTCTATAGCCGTGGCGGAGCTTGAAGATCTGAGGAGGGGCCAACAGTATTCAAGTTACCTATATTGTGCAAATTTTTATTACTTCATTGACAAAATATAGACATCATTAAGAAAATGCAATCACCAAGGGGGCCATGGCCCACTAGTCATAAGTAAATGTGTAGTGGTAGGGAATGATCTCGGAAGGAGAAATGACCAAAACAAAAATTATAGATCTTAAGAAGTTATGAAACTTTCTAGTTCACAGCTTTTTTATTTGAAGTTGTCTTAATGCCAAAATGTTTGATTCACAAGATTTTATAGAGTTTATACCAAAAGAATCCATATGCTCTATAGTCACAAGTGAGTGTGTAGTTGTGGGAAGGATCTCCGATGGAAAAACCACCAAAACAAAAAGTCATAGATCTTGAAAAGTTACGTAACTTTGTAGTTGACAACTTTTTTATTTAAAATCATCTATCCAACAAAAATACGTTTGAATTTCTCACATTTGAAATTCAATTTTTTCAAACGATCTCGGATGGAGAAATAATGACCAAAACAAAAGTAGTTTATCACGAAAAGTTGTACAATTTTGTAGTTGACAACGTTTTAATTTGAAATCATATATCCAAAGAAAATTACGTTTGAATTTCCTCAAATTTAAAATTCAAAATTTTCAAACAGTCTCGAGATGGAGAAATGACCAAACCGAAGTTGTAGATCTCAAAAAGTCATAAAACTTTCTAGTTGACAACTTTATCATTTGAATTTGTTTAGATCCCAAATACTCATTTCAAAACCAGTTTAAAATAGGAGGACGAATATTGAAATAGATACAAGTGTCTTATGGGTGGAGTGGTTAGGGGACAAACACATGAAGCCTAAGGTCGTGGGTTTGAGTGCCGGCGGCCGTGAAGCGCGTGTTTTTCGTACAAAAAATTGCATGACTTGTGATGGCTAAAATATTTTTTTTGTTTTTTAGCTCTTTTTTGTCGTTATTCTAGACCCACGTCCACTAGGAGGCTTCTCACGTTCTAACCGCCAACCCTGTCCAAAAATGCTTTTGACCATTGGAAGTAGCTGTTGCAGGCTTATGGTTTTTACGTGAATAACAACTAGTTTCAGTGGTGGTTATTATATATATAGGCGTCGTGTGTTGGATTGTTGCTGGTGCCCAAGGAACATATCCACACCCTTTAGAGCAAGTTTAGCCCTCCTCTCACATATACTTAGTTGATATCGCATTCGTGGTAAGATTGGAGCGTCTCTAGTGCGGATCTTTGAGAGATTGATCGAGTGGCACTAGGAGATCAATTTGCAAGCAGGGATTGCTTGTTAGTCTTGGAGGTTACCACCTCCTAAACAGCTCGGTGGTCTGGCTCAGTTGAAACCCGCAAGAGAATTATGCGGTGCTCTAGAGGAAGCTTGTTCGCGGCTATTGTGCTCGTCCTAGCCGAAGCAAGGCGAAGAGAAACTCTAGTTGACCATAAGTGCAGAGTGTTTATGACCAGCCTATAAGTGCAATGAAGCCGTAATTGTGGGTTTTGATGATAATGACCATATAATTAGGGAACTATTGAGATTTATCAAGATGACGAGCAAGTGATATGATTATGAGGATGCTATTTAAAATGGTGGAACCCCAATAACAAAAGAACGCGGTGATGAACTCAAAAGACGTTTAAATTCTTTTATCTTTTGAAATTGAGTTTAGAAAAACCACACTATAAAGGGAAATACAATGTACAGCTTCAATGTGCAACCAAGTGTTAAAAACTAACGCTAGACAAAAATAACCGAGAACCAAAAACCGAACCAAAATAACCGGAACAGAAATCGAACTAACCGAAACCGAATATTTCGGTTCCTAGTTTGGTTCTCGGTTCCAAGTAACCGAAATAAGTCAGGTTAGTTCGATTCTTGAGCTCAGTTAACCGAAATAACCGAAGTAACCCTTGAGGCCCAGTAATCAGAAAGAAAAGGCCCAGCCCAACAGGCCTTGGTATATATACAACCTCCATAAACCCTACTCCACTCCACTCCTCCCTCCCAGCCGTCACCAGGAGTCCACCGGCCTTCCCTCGCGTAGTCACGCATCGCGCTCGCGCCTCCCAGCACGCCCTCCTCGTTCCCCCCTCCTAGCCCCGTCCTTGCTCCTCCCGCTACCGTAGAGGAACGCCCTGCTCGGATGCTCCATCCCCGCCGCGGCGTCGGCGCGGCGGCGCCCTTGCTTCTTCTCAACCAGGGGCGGCAGTTGACCGGCGGCCGCGAGGACAAATGACGTGCAAGAGCAGTCCAAGAGCGAGGCTGTGGTGACCTCATGCGATTTTTCTCCTCTGTTCGGGTTTTTCAGTCTGTGTGTTCACTGCGTATGTATCTATCTTTGGATGGC